TTCAAAAAGGCTTGAAAAATGTTGAAATAGGCGTAGCTAGTGAACTCTACTGGGTATGTCGAAATGATGAATATGGTTAGCCCGAAAATGATGATATCCAACTTAACTTATGAATAATTGAATCACGTTGAACCTACTAACGGTAGCACAGAGTTACATGCAGCAACTTATTGCAATCATTTGAAGATTGTAGAATTATTACTGCAACATGGATGTAAACAAACAACATTGAATTGATTTGGGCCTACCACATACGAAGAAGCCCGAACCCAGTAAATACGTTCACTCTCTCTTCGGCCTAGTTCAGAGCTGGACAAGTCAAGTCCAAAATGCCTCAAGTTCAAGTCAAGTCAAGTCAAGTCAAGCCAAGTCAGGCTTGACTTGACTTGAGTTTGACTTGACTTGGACATTGATGGAATTTTCCCCTTTTACAACCTCTCTTAGATGTTCTCCTACAGGGCTTGAATACTACTGAATCCAAAATATCGGTGGCCAACCCATACATAATCGTTTCTTTTACAACAACTGATATGAGACTGTATGCATCTGATGTTTTTATTTTTCGCTTTTAATCAGTAGAAGCGACATCGTTTTCCAATGAAACACCCTTATATGACTCACAAAAAGCATCATTATCATTTATTGATATTTAAATTTGACACAAATCTGGAATGCTAAACAAACTAATAATAGAGATTACTTATTGAACAAACCTCCTTCGCGGATCATTACCTTGTCGTGGTGAAGGGGCTTGCGTATCTCGATGACGCTGTGAACTATACCGTGGGGAGTGCTCACTCCCGGCAGGGTCACCCATGACGGGCAGGACACAACCGAGAGATCAGACTAAATACGATCCACTGGAGAAGGAAATGGCAACCCACTCCAGTATCATGCCAAGAAAACCGAAATGGACAATTACAACCAGGATAATCTCAACATAGTACTGGAAGATGAGACCCTCAGGTCGGAAAGTACTCAACCAGCTACTGGGGAAGAGCAGAGAACAAGCACGAGTAGCGCTAGAACTTATGACGTGGCTGGAACAAAGCCGAAAGGACGTCCAGCTACTGACGCATCTAGTGTCAAAAGGGAAGTTCGATGCTGTAAAAAGCCGCATACAATCGGAACTTGGAACGTCAGAACGATGAACCAAGGTAAACTTGACGTAGTCAAAGGAGAAATGTCAAGAGTAAACATCGACATTCTAGGAATTAGTGAACTGAAATGGACAGGAATGGGTCATTTCATATCAGATGACTATCACATATTCTATTGTGGACAGGAAAATCACAGAAGAAACGGTGTAGCCATAATCGTTAATAAAAGGTTGTCTAACTCAGTGCTTGGGTACAACCCCAAAAATGACAGAATAATATCAATTCGATTATTAGGCAAACCGATTAATGTCACAGTGTTTCAAGTCTATGCACCTACTACAGGTGCAGACGACGTGGAAATAGAAGACTTTTATGTCAGTTTGCAGCAACTCGTTGATGCAACACCAAAAAAAGATGCCATTGTCATCATGGGCGATTGGAACGCCAAAGTAGGAAGTAAACCAATAACTGGTATAACTGGAAATTTTGGACTAGGAGATCGAAATGAAGTAGGAGACAAACTACTGGAATTCTGTCAGAACAACTCCTTGTTTATAACAAATACGTGCTTTCAACAGCCTAAAAGACGACTCTACACATGGACGTCTCCGAACGGACAATATAAAAATCAAATCGATTACATACTTTGTAGTCAAAGATGGAGAAGCTCCATCCAACTAGCCAAAACAAGACCTGGCGCTGACTGCGGCTCAGATCATGAACTGCTTATTGCTAAGTTTCAAATGAAACTAAAGACAACAAGCAAAACAGCTAGACCAGCAAGGTATAATCTTAGCAATATCCCGCATAAATATGCGGTGGAGGTTAAGAACAGATTTGACGGGCTAGATTTGATTGGTAGAGAGCCAGAAGACCTCTGGTCTGAAGTCCGGGACATCATCAAGGATGAGGCAAACAAAAACATACCAAATAACAAAACGCCAAAGAAAGCGAAGTGGCTGACGGCTGACACGCTGAAAGTATCCGAAGAAAGACGGAATGCAAAAGGCTGTGGAGATAAGGAAAGGTTTTCTCGACTGAATGCCGAATTCCAACGGAGGGCAAGAAGAGACAAAGAAAAACATATGAATGATCAATGTCAACAAATCGAAGACAACAATCGAAAAGGAAAGACAAGAGACCTTTTCAAGAAAATTGATGAAATCAAGAGAACATTTCATGCAAAAATTGGCACAATAAAAGATAAACAAGGCAGAGATCTGATGGAGAAGGAGGACATCAAGAAGCGGTGGCGCGAATACACCGAAGAACTATACAAAAAAGATACCCAAAGTATAGATGTAAATGATGGTTCAACTATCGAACTAGAACCAGACATTTTGGAAAGCGAAATCAAGTGGGCTTTAGAATGCATAGCCAATAATAAGGCTTCAGGTATTGATGAAATACCAGTTGAATTATTTAAAATCTTGGGGGATGATGCCGTGAAAATCTTGCTCACAATATGCCAGCAGATATGGAAAACACAGCAATGGCCAAAAGACTGGAAAAGATCAATTTATATTCCAATACCAAAAAAAGGTAGTGCTAAAGAATGTTCCAACTATCGGACGATTGCACTCATCTCACACGCTAGCAAGATAATGCTCAAGATTTTGCAAGCCGGATTGGAACAATACATGACACGAGAACTTCCAGATGTACAGGCCGGGTTTAGAAGGGGCAGAGGCACCCGAGATCATATCGCCAACATTCGGGGGATAATGGAAAAAGCAAAGGAGTTTCAAAAAGATATCTATTTTTGCTTTATAGACTACACGAAGGCTTTCGACTGTGTAGATCACAACAAACTATGGACAGTTCTTAGCAACATGGGCATTCCAAAGCATCTCATTTGCCTTCTGAAGAATTTATACACCGACCAGGAAGCAACTGTAAGAACCGAATATGGTTTGACCGGATGGTTCAAAAATGAGAAAGGAGTACGCCAAGGTTGCATACTCTCACCTTGCTTATTTAATCTATACGCAGAATATATCATGCGAAATGCAGAACTGGATGAAACCGAAGCGGGAATCAAAATTTCAGGAAGAAACATCAATAACCTCAGATATGCTGATGATACCACTTTAATGGCGGAAAAAGAAGATGATCTAAAGAGTCTCTTGATGAAGGTGAAAGAAGAAAGTGCAAAGGCTGGCTTGTTGCTTAATATCAAAAAGACCAAAATCATGTCAACTGGTACAGTTAATAGGATACAGATTGATGGAGAAGAAATTGAAGTAGTACCGGACTTCATATTCCTAGGCTCAAAAATCCACAGAGATGGAGACTGCAGTCATGAGATAAGAAGACGCTTACTTCTCGGAAGGAAAGCCATGACGAATATGGAAAAAATACTAAAGTGTAGAGACATTACACTATCAACTAAAGTACGGATTGTCAATGCAATGGTTTTTCCAGTCATAACGTATGGTAGCGAAAGTTGGACTATCAAAAAAGCGGAGCGAAGAAAAATTGACGCATTTGAATTATGGTGCTGGAGGAAACTGCTGAGAACACCATGGACCGCAAGAAGAACAAATCGGTCAATACTAAATGAAGTGAAGCCGGACTTCTCACTGGAGACATTAATAATGAAGCTAAAGCTCAAATATTTCGGTCACATAATGCGAAGACAAGACTCACTGGAAAAGACTCTGATGCTTGGAAAAATCGAAGGCAACCGAAAAAGAGGTCGACAGAAGATAAGGTGGCTTGACACCATCACTGATGTCATGGAAACAAACTTACAAGAACTGAAGGAAATGGTCACTGACAGGCAAGCCTGGCGTAATAACGTCTATCAGGTCACGAAGAGTCGGACTCGACTGAACGACTGAACACATTGAACAAACACTTATTACACGCAAAGAATGAGGCGAAAATATTCTATCTCTTTCAATAGGTCAACTTCGACAATGAAGCGACATGAAACAAATTGATAGATTGTGAATAAAACATTATTCTTTTCTCTTTCTTTTTTCTCTGTTCTGAATGTGGCACTTCGACGACAGTGTTCGTCAAAGTAGTATATTGAGAACAGAGAGAAAACAATGGGAGAATGAAAAAGAACATTTTATTCATGATTCATCAATTTATTACATATCACTTCATTGTCGAAGTTGACCTATTGAACAAAATAAAATAGTTGCGTTCTTTTATCTATATACAACAACGCTGATATTTACGAAGTTCAATAAATTATAATAATTATGATGAATAACACTGAATCTGAAAGTACAAGTTCTGATGCACCCAGTTCTTCGTCAATAACAATATTAACATCAAAATCTAATGATGAAGCTATATCCAAAGAACAGCATTTTTCAAAAACCATTCGAGATCAATTCTTCACCAACATTAGCAAAAACGAGAAAAATTGGTCGGCCACATGCTTGATATGTAATGAAATAGTATTTGATAACGTTAGTGTTACATCTAATGTTAACCGCCATGTAAAAAAAAACATCAAGTTGAGTATACTGAATGGTCAAATAAATTAAATGAATTAGATCGGCAACAGCCAAAATTATTCGATTTTATTTCGAAGAAGCGATCATCTCCACCTTCTAAACAATCATATCCAGCTGACCACCGTCTACAAAGACAGTTACATGATGCCATCGTTCAAGAACTCATCATAGAACTTGGTCTTCCATTATCATTGGTAGAAAGACCAGAATTTATTAAATTTATGTCTATTGTCGATCCAAAATTTAAAACAACAAGTCGTCGCACTTTAACAAGAAGTACAATTCCACTTCTCTATAATAAAATGCATGATTTGTTAAAAGAATTCTGTTCAAGAGCAGAATACATTTCTCTGACTCTCGATATTTGGACCGATAGAAGAACCCGTTCATTTTTCAGTATCACAGGTAGGTATCTCATGTTGTTTTGCATATTTTTTTAATTTAATATAGTGCTTTAGGTCATGCAATTATTGACACGGAATTTAAGTCTTATGTTCTGTGTTTCTTACCATTACAAGGAAGCCATACTAGCGAAAAATTATTTGAATATTATGACTTATTAATTAATGAATTTCAAATAAAAAATAAATTATGCAGAATAGTAACCGACAATGCATCTAACAATATTAAAGCTTTTGAAAATTTAATTATTCCTGGATTTGAATCGTACTTTTCTGATGATGACAACGATAATGACACCAATGATGATTTATCTGAAAATCATGATAATGGCTCAGATATGAGCGGCGATGATTGTTATGATAATCCAGCGACATCCAACAGCATGCCAATGCAAGATACATTAAATATTATTAAAGATTCTTTTGATAATTTATCATCCAAAAGTGAATTAAGAATACCATGTTTTGCGCACACACTTCAACTTGTTATTAAAAATGGTTTAGAAGAAGCTATTTGTATTAAACAAGCTATTTACAAAGTATCGAAAATTGCCAAATTAGCTCATTCAAGTACTACTTTTGCAGACAAACTGGAAACAATAGGTGGAAGCATTCCAAAACCAAATAAAACTCGATGGAACAGTCAACTTCATGCAGTACAAAAAATACTCGAGATACAATCAACACAATTAAATTCTATACTTACTGAATTAAAAAAAAAGGATTTATGTTTAGGGCCACGTGATATAACTATGTTAAATGAATTCGTGTCGTTATTAATTTTTTTTGAAGAAGCAACAACCATTACTCAAGCAGAGAATTCACCGTCGATTTCACTTGTCGCTCCGAGTATTGTTTCGATTTATTACGATTTAATCAATGAACAACATAATATTATTTACACAACTACGTTATGTAAAGCTCTATTGTCATCATTAATTGCTTGATTTGGTGGTCTACTTGAATCATTAAGTATTGATTTTGATATAATAGTCGGAAAAAAAAGCACATACCATTTGTATGGAGATCCTATATTTCTTGTTTCAGCATTTTTAGATGGAAAATTTAAGCTTAGATGGATAACTGAATCTGGGCTTAGCGAACAAAAAGAAGACGGAAGTACGTAACAAAATTAAAAATTTGGTATTTGATTATTGTGTTGTTTCATGCAATGCTGTTCCTGATTTAAATGCTGCGGCAATAGAAGCAGAAATCATAGAAGATACATTCACCGTCAATCCAAAAAGAAAAAGTTTGTTTTCTTATCTTGAAAATAATATTAAAAGAAAAAAACATATTGATCCATTTCAATACATTCGAGATGAGATATCATTATATTTGGAAGATATCGAAAATGATAAAATGCTAGTTTTTCGAAAATCATCTGTTTATAAGACGTTGAACCAAGTAGCCAAAAAGGTTCTTTCTGTTCCAGCAACATCGGCGCCTGTAGAGCGCGTTTTTTCCCAGAGTGGATTTCTCATGCGTCAACAGAGCTTCGATGTCAAAAACAACCTTAAAGATGTTAACAATGTTAAAATGTAATAAGCACCTTCGATAATTTTGTAAAACTTGTATATTTTTATAATAAGTGGAAAATTGTATATTTTATGAGAGTTATGTGAAACTTGTATATTTATAATACATGAATGCAAAAATTGTGTTTTTTTATGATATTTATGTAAAAGTTGTATAATTTATAATAAATGAGTTAAAGATTATATTTTCTATGAATAGTTATGTAAAAATTGTACATTTATATTATAAAAGTACAACAATTGTATTGTTTGTGTACTGCATGCCGAAGTTGTGCTTTTACAGCCGCATCATATTTTTTGAAAACACAAATAGTATTCGAGTTGACTGAGTCGTATGAAAGAATAATTCTTAATTGGAGGGACTTAATTTGGCTTGAGGAAAATGTTAAACGTTTCTTACCTGACTTTTTACTTAATTTGAATTCACTTGGATTTTTTTAGCATGTCTGACTTGACTAGACTTGTGACTTGAAAAATCTGTAAGTTGCCCACCTCTGGTTTGACTTGGTAAAAAAAAATATTGGGTTTGACTTGACTTGACTTGACTTGGTAAAAAAAATATTTGGTTTGACTTGTATGACTTGACTTGACTTGAAATATTTTTTTAGTGGCTTGACTTGAAATATTTTTTTAGTGACTTGACTTGACTTGTGACTTGAAAAATCTGTAAGTTGCCCACCTCTGGTATTGAAACGGCCGATGGAAGAACTACAAGACTGTAGGAGGTCTAGAATCAATCATTCAGAAGTAATAGGCATCCGAGACAAAATTTTATTTGATTTTTTGGCGATTTCTATAACAGAATCTTTTGCTGTTTCTTTTTTGATAAGAAACCATTTCTCCACACTTAGACGACTGAATAAATAAACATAAGATCATACACTAGGAAAACATATAATACACGATTCGATACAACTTTATCTCCTCTTTCGAACGATGTATATTACAGCTCTCTATCTTGTTTCCATCAAAAATTATTCCAAAAATATGACATAGGTAATAATACTACTGGGCACATATTACAGCAAAAGAAGTCTTATCGAATGTTTATTATTATGATATTAGTTGAAGTATGATCAAACAGCATAGAAACAAAGAGCACTCTTTTCTCTCTCAGATAATATAGAAAGAAAGTTTGTTAAACCTTACTATACTGTATTTAGGTGTCACTGACACTACTTTTGGTATACCAAAGTATATTTTTTTCATGCTGTCTAAAAGAAGAACGATTGAATCACCGTTGATAGTCTACAAAATAATTTTCTTAGCTTCTTAATTAAAACAAGGCATCATACATTCTACCTCATTTTTAGTTCACATATTCACACAATTTTGAAAACAAAAACGAACATGAGTACTACAGTAAAGATCCATTTCAATTGGTCTTTATGTTGATATGCTCTTGCTCTAAAACTGTATACCTCTAAAAAAAACAAAGAATGATAAATATTGATTTAATATATGTTATGTACGTCATGATTCCTTCTGTTTGACTATGTTCTTGTATTTATTCAATATTTAATGCCACATATTCTTAAATTTCTTTGGATCTGTCAATATTAGAAACCTTGATGAAAATCTGAACATAGCGTCAATCAGCTGTTGGATGTTTTAAATTCAATTGAAGACATTGCATTCTAACGATCAAATATTACAACCAATTTCACACATGAACATAAAGTCACATTAAACTCTGTCAGCATCATTCTATTTTCCAGGCACGCAATGCAACGAATAAGTGTTTATTAATATTTGATGGGAAAATCACCTCCTACTGGATAGCCTGCTTCTTTTGGAAATGCAACCATCTATGTTAAATAGGGTTTTTCTTTGTTCTTTTTTTTTTTTTATTTCG